AAACTGCTCATGAACTTCCATTCCCAAGGTCGTTAACTTTGCTGCCAGATTAGACATGTGTGTCACATGATCATGGATTGGTTGAGACCAGTCAAACTTCTTTGTAGTTAGCTCATTCATGAGACTTCCTACAATCGACTTATCAGCTAATTTCGATTGTGAACACTCCTTAATTTGCTCTATGAATTCCCTTGCTTTCTCTGTCTTAGGCATTGATGGCTTAATACTTTCCGCCATCGTCAACCTCATAAAGTTCAAGCTCAGCCTGTTAGATCGCTCCCATCTCTCATAATGAGACTTTTCATATTCAGAGCTATCTACTGTAATAGCTGAGGGTTCCTCATCAGTTAGTACGGCAGAGTCCAAAGCCATTACACCCAATGTAAACCGGATTTGCTCGAACCACTCACCATAGTTGAGGCCATTAAACTTTACCACAGAGTTAGCATATGCAAACACATTTGATGAAGCTGCAAGCATTCATACATGTTTTCCCATTAGTGCTTTGAAACTTTAATATATTCAGACTAATATAATATTTTATAACTTGTATTTTAAATAACCTTTGGGAAATATTTAAATACAAGTACTTTTAGTGATGCTAATTATATATACATTAATAATTAATCAGAACAACCGTAGTCAAATAAATATGTTATCTTTGGAAATACATATTAATAACTAGAGTAAAAAAAATGACTAATTTTTTTCTTTTATTATTATATTCAGTGATTCACCTTTGGGTAATCTCCTAGAATATAAAAAAAAAAAATTAATTGATCTATCAAACTTTTATGTCATTTAGCATCGTTGATATTTTGATCAATTAATCAACTATACAATTTTAATATCTATATACAATATAACAAGATCACTTTGGTGACTAACATGTTATATACAATATAAATGTTAAAAATTCTAAAGGGAAAACTACTTAAATTATGTTAATATTTCATAACATAATTATTATAATCATCAAATTCGCAGAAGCATTTTATTTATTTAATATAATTAAATTAACTCTAAATGCATATTTGATTTAGTTATGCCGTATTTTTTTTCATGTTCAATGATATTGACGAAAAATACCATTAACCGAAACATGACAACGACAACATAACACCTTTATTAAGAGTTGATTACCAAATGAGACACTTTTCCTCTTTTTAACATCATTAGACACTTCTCACTTGAGGGGCAGTTCGATCCTCTTCCCCCCATGTGTTTATACCCATATGCCCTTTTGCTTTGGTTAAGAGATTGGTGAGGCGAGTTAATTTTATGAATATAATATTTTGTCAGCTTTATTCCCACCGAAAAGAAAAGCAAACGTGTTGGTGTGTTTCCTTAAATGAGACATATAGCAACCGTCGGATGGACATCGATCCAATGGTGAGGGTTTGGTGTGTTTGAAAATAGTAGGTCAGGTAATTAATGCATCAGTGGCTCGAAGGCGCAGAAGAAGTAGCTCTCCGTCGGTGAAGAAGAAAAGTTTGGTTTTGCTGTTTACTTGAGTAAAAATCACCTTTACATGTTAACACACTGTGTTATCTGATTATTATCCAACCTTGGTCGTAAAATTTCTGAAAATTTTTTTTTGAAGGAGATAACTTGGAGGATGGACGACCAATGCTTGATTCTAAGCGGCGATTGGGTGTGTGGAAATGGAGGAAAATGAGATTTCACCATTGAGAAGCATCACATGTGTCGTATGGTGCTTGTATACGATGGCATTGGTTGTGTGGAACTTGAACGCAGAGTACTGCGGGAGTTTAGAGTCGATGAATCCCGTTTTGGTGTTGCTTTGAGCTACTGGCCACCAACAACCACTGATCTTGCAACATGGGTTAGGACCCCACTGGTGCTGATTACAAGTGACGGGACTGTGAAGTATTTCTGCAAACATATGAAAGTGAAAGGGGAGATAAACTTGTTTGCTAAGTTTGAAGAGAAACCCAGAAATGTGGACACTGATGTTGTAGATGATTCAGGTTTGGGATTTGTGTCACCAGATGCAGCAAGGTTTTCGTCTGGATCATCTAAAAGGGGTTACGTTTCATCAGCTGCTTCTAAGACTAAGGTTATTAACCTTCTGGAAGATAAAGATTTAGTACCGGAAGCTGAGAAGGTGGAAGGAAGATTGATGAGTGGTGAGAGACTTAGAGGAGAAAGCAGCGACAGTGTGGATGATAGTGGTTTCAGTTATGGAGGAAACATTGAAGGAGATGTTTTTTGGAGGAGATGGATGTGAGGCCAAGAGGTTACGACAAGGAGTTTTGGAAGCCGTTATTAGATGGAGACTACGGAGGTTCAAATGCCGCTAATGTTGTATTCAATGAGGATGAGATTGTTGCAGGCCTAAACAAAAATTCAGGACCGAGAACGTATGTTGAGGTTGGGGGGTCAAGCGGTGGTAACAAAGAAAACACACCGAAGCCGGAGGATTATAATCTTTGGATGGGAGGTGTTAGTGAGGCTCATGCTGGTGTTAACATGGGTAGTCGTCCTGCGCGAAAACTCGGTGATGTTGATGACGAGGAGTTTGATATTCCTCCTATATTTGATGACACTGAATATGATGTGTCTGAAATCCCCGACATGGATGTGGACGAACATGACGGTGAAATAGCTGTTGGGAAAGTCTTTGGAAGCAAGGAAGATTGTCAGATTGCTTTGGCAATTTATGCAATAAAAAAGCAGTTTAAGTTCACGCAGACTAGGACTGAGGTTGAATCTTTTGTTGTGGAGTGTCCCGATAAGAGGTGTGATTGGCGGGTAACGGCTCATGAGATTTGGGGGTGTGGTTACTATGAGATAAGGAAGGCTCAGCTAGATCATCTCTGCCCCATTGAATACAGTCAAGGTTACAAGAGTAGAGAAGCATCTCGTGTCATTGCGGCGGTGTACAAAGCAAAGTTTGGGAACCCAGGGAAGTCTCCTATGGCGAGTGATTTGCAGAAACTTCTTTTGGAAGACATCCGTGTGAATGCTTCGTATATGACGTGCTATAGGGCTAAAGAGAAAGCTATACTTGGAGTGCGTGGTTCTGATGAGGATGCATATTTGAAGCTCCCAGAATATCTGCACATGCTTAAGTTGGCAAATCCTGGTACAATTTCTGATTTGGAGATGGATCTAAACGACGAGGGAGATGAACGTGTCCTTTACTTGTTCCTTGCATTTGGTGCTTCAATTAGTGGATTCAGGAAGCTGAGGCATGTGTTGGTGATAGATGGTACCCATCTAAGCGGCAAGTACAAAGGAGTTCTTTTGACAGCTAGTGGGCAGGATGCTAATTTCCAGATCTTCCCTCTCGCTTTTGCAGTTGTGGACGCTGAGGACGAGGATTTGTGGAAGTGGTTTTTGCAAAAAGTAGAGAGGAGATTCCCCAACTCTTGCCATAATATCTGACAGGGCGGTGCGTATTTCTAATGCTGTGAGTAAGATTTATCCTCAAGCCAAGCATAGAGCTTGCATAGTACATTTGGCAAGAAATGTGAATTCAAGGTTTTAAAGTAAGCACTTAGTAGAGTTGGTCACGAAGACAGCCATGGCGCATGTGCCACGTGAGTTCAAGGAACTTTAAGGGAAGATCAGGGGCACTAACAGTGCTTGTGGGGTGTATCTTGGTAAAATTGGTACAGCTCGTTGGTCAAGAGCCAATTTCTCGGGTGAGAAATATAACATCATGACTAGTAATATTGCTGAGCAGCTGAATAATGACAAGGTGGTTCAGTGCGCATAGGAAGAAGGCGGAGAAACACAGTGGCGCAGTCAGTATAGAGGTGGACAAAGAGATGACAAAGAATATGGCCACTATTAAAGAAAGTTACATTAATTCTGTGAATGAGTGGACTTCTCAAATTTTGGGAAATTTTGGGAGGTCTGACAAGGTAATGTTTAGCAGAGAGGAAGTGTAGTTGTAAGTATTTTGATAATATCAAAATACCTTGTGGACATGCTATACTAGCAGCTAACGGTCTTGGCGTGTCTACGGATACACTGTGCGGTCATTGGTACAAGACATCGGTGTGGAGGGAGACATATGCAGGTGTGATCAATCCAGATGAAGACCCAAGGGATGTACACATAACTGAGGAGATTAGCAAGAAGGTTGTATACCCTCCCATCACAAAGAGGCAGCCTGGACGCCGTCGCAAGACATGCATGCCCTCCACAGGAGAGATAAAGGTGAGAAAAATTGCGGTATAAAGCAAATGTTGAAAGAGAATGGAATTAAAACAAATGTTAAGGAAGGTTTGTTTGTATTGTTTTAGGTACCGAAGAAGAAAGTGAATCAGAACAAATGTGGGAGGTGTAGGGGAGTTGGACACAACCGCACCAATTGCGTGTGTCCCATCTAATCGTGTAGCCGAAGGTGTTTTTTTGTGACATGAATGGGGGGTTGTTTTTGGGAAGGAGTTGCGGATGTTTTTTGGTTCATGATGACGACATGATTTGTTTTGGAGATTTAGGGAATACTGGAGTGGATCGTCCAGGCGGAATATGTGATTGTTGTTCTTGATGTTCTTTTTTTGAAACAATATATGGAGAGCGAACAATTTTTCGTTGGTGACACATATGATCAGAGAAAACTTTTTGGTTCGTGACACATATGTTATCTTCGTTTGAGTCTTCATTTTCTAAGGTTATAAAACCATGTCTGCAGAGTTGTTTTTAAAAGTTGGGTTGATTGTGGTTGTAGACGAACTTTAGATTACAAGTTCATCAAAGACATGAAAAAAACAGAACTAGTGAAAAGGATTAGTAATCGTGAGAAAAAAGCATTAGTTGATATCACAACATATGAGAACAAGATTACTAAGAACCAGAGACATTGGAGCATTCCATTATAACATATAGTACTAGTGAAACAAAAGCATTCATTGAACCAAGAGTAGTTGTGAATCAAAAGCATTAGTTGCCATCCTAGATATTAGAACAAGATTAAATACTGGGATACTCAGAAAAGTAGACATTTGAAAATCCCATTTAAACATCTAGTTGCTGATCCTAGCGTAGATCCAGGCCATTGTTCCAAGTGTAATGGCTGCAACTGCGATGTTGGTCAATGAATTGGCAGAAGAGGACATCATGGGGGACACTAGAGGATCTTCAGAGGTCGAAGCTGAGTTGTCCTCAGTGCCACATGTGTTTGTCTTGGCATCCATTAGCATTTTGATCTGGTGTAGGGTTTGCTCTATTTGTTTGGCATGTTTTTCCAAATGTCTTGCTGTGCACAGCCTGAAAGAGTCGACATCTTCCTTTAGGTGGGAGTGTTTTGCATCAACAATGTTGATCTCGTCAATAATTGCCTCGTCGACCCACTTGAAAAAGTGGTGCTCTGTTTTTCTCTGATAATGATTAAGTGGAAATGAAATAGTTTGAGGGATTTGGGAGCGTGTTAAGGATTGTGGATCGGGATTTGTTGGTGAAGATACTTAATGGAAATGAAATATATGATGAGGTCCGTCGTTTAGGTTAAAAAATATTACTTGAGTTTTAGGCATTGTTTGTGGATGTGGACGAAAAACGTATCTAAATGCTTGAGATGTGGATGTGGACATAGATGACGTTTGTGGACGTGTTTTGGTACCTAAAAGATTTTGCATTTGTCATCAGTTTAAGCAAAAAAATGCAGAACTGATGAATTGTTCTGTAGTAAAATCACAACTTTTCCCTGAGGAACAAAAACATAAGTAGTCTTAATAGATTAATAAGTCTTATGGAAAATGATAGATAGGTTTAAACATAAGTATTCTTAAGAGATTAGCTAAAGAAAAGCATTGAAACCAAAAGTACTCCGACACTCCCAATATATTACACAAAAAGGTGGGGACACTACAAGAAAAATGACTTTTATTAGCGGCCAGGAAAACGCTATCTAACGATACGATAGCGGTTTATGAAGCGCTATATCATCGCCCGTGATAGTAGGTCAGGTTCTTTAGATAGTGGTTTTTGGTACTGCTATCGTATTGTGATATATTATAGCGTTTTTTTGTATGTAACTAAATATACTTCAATAACGTTTCTTTTTTGTTATTATTTACATTAAAATTATTTATTTTTAAAATTAATTATTTTAGTTAATTAATTTAAATAATAAAATTTAATTAAAAATTAAACTGGTTTCTATATTTAAAATTTTGTTTATTGTTTAAAATGATTAATAATCAAACTGATTTAAGTACAAAATAATCAAAACTAAACCAACGACATAAACCTTAAAGCCAACAATGGACCAGAAAAAAAAAAACTAATCAAACCGGTTTAATCTAAACTGAAAAAGAAAACCTAAAAAAACCTAAGAAACACCCTATCCTGCGCCTCCCCCTCCTCTGTTCGCTTACTCCTCGTTAACCCCTCTGCCTCCTCAGCCATCAACCTCCTCCTCCATCAAGCTCTTCTACCTTCTTCTCCATCAAGCCCCTCTGCTCCTGCTAAATGAAGGACCTTCCTTTATCAACAAAAAAATCAGATTCAAAACGAACACATAGAGAGAGAGAGAGAGAGAGAGATTGAAGGTTGTGGTGACGAACAATGGTGGTGACTCCGGAGCTTCAGATTCGTCATGCGTCCACCTCCGGCGACTCCGCTTCATCACGCTAACATATCCTGCGAGGCCACTTCGTCTTCTTGCCCATCATTTCTCAGATTTTTCAGATCTGTTAAGAAAGAGACAGAGACTGAGAGACACACACAGAGAGATATAAATAAATATAGAGAGAGGGAGAAATAGGTCGAACACAGGTAGTGTGGTGGTGGGACAAATCCGATCAATGTAAGGCAAAGAAACAGATTTATTTCGATGTGTGTTAGAGAGAAACAAATGAATAAGAAGAAGAAGAAACTACAAATCGTGAGAGAGAGTAACACAACAAGACTCATTATTGTCCATTGATTAAAGTGAAACACTCTTGTCCGTTAGATTGAGTTATATCAACGATGAAGATCAACTATAATAGCTATCCTCATCATCATGTTTTAACCAATGAGAAATTTGTTTCTTTGTTATATTAATTGATCAATAAGGAAGAATAAATATATTTAACAAAAGAATGATTTGTAACCATTGGATTCAAAATAATCAATAGTCATATATTAGCTATTCATAAACTGTTTTTTATTTAATATTTTTAAAAAAAATTGTAATTTTATTGTTTAACTAATTTTATTTATATAAAAATTAAATATCATTTACATTTATAAAGTTAATGATAAGAACTATTGAATTTCAAATTTGAAATGTATGATTTTAGAGTAAAAAGGTTTGTGTACAGACTTTTAAGGTTAGATATAAAGTTTTAACAAGTAAATTCAAAATGGTTATTTTTTATAAGTATTATATAATAGTTTTATATTTGGTGGATGTATGGTTTATGTTCGAAAATAAGATTTAGGGTATTGGAGATTTAAGATTTATATTTTAGAATTTAAAGATTAAAATTAAAAGATTACACTTTGATTTTAATTTTAAGATTTGAGGTTATAGTAAAAAGATATTAGAATTTTAAATTATGTGTATATAATTCATGGTTTGAAAACTTATTTAGGGTTCAGGGATTATAAAAACAAACATTATGTTTTTAATTGTCTTTTGCTATTAAACATAAGTGTCACGTATAAAACCATATGTTATCATAGCGTTTCTAAATATACTGCTCTATCATAGCGTTTTTAAATATACAAACGCTATGTAAAATTACCGTGTATATCAACCATAGCAGAAAGACAAAAAACACTATTCTCTACTGCTATCAAAACCCATATTTCTTGTAGTGGGAGGAGACAATGATAGTAGCTTCTAATCATCAGTGCAGTGGGCAGCATAGTACGCAGGCAGCACCAACGTCTTGTAGATGTCCATTGCGTACTACTTGCGTATGTCATCGACAATCTGATCTGTGATGCCGGCCATTCCAGGGGATGGATCACCATGTGCGTGCAACTCTAGGAACTTCATGGTAACAAGTCCGCAATCACCGGATCGGCCGTTAATGTAGATGTCTGGAATACGGCTGCAGATAAACGGCTTCACACCAGTGAATTGGGTTAGCTCACGCATGGCAACTTTCTTCACAAGGTAAGGGACGCAAGCCAGCACGGGTTTCATCCAATTACCATGCGTCTTACTCCGTGCAAAGCGGGGAGAGGATCAAGAACTTCAACCAATCCCATATCGAGGTTGATTGCTAACCCAACCCAGTGAGACTTGTTTCAGAGCATAGGCATGTAGATGGTGTGAATGTCGACCAAACGCTGGTCCCAGACAAAAGTGTCCTTCTTCTTCTTACCACCCTTGTTGAAATTGATGAAAGTCTTGTTGATAGCTGAAGAAAGAGTAGGTGGGGCGAAAGCTGCTTTTTCAGTCTTTAGAATCTCAGAGTGTCTCGCAGAGAGCATGTGGACAAGAATTTCCATTTTCTAGACATTTAACAGTGTTTTGAGTTAAAACAAGACCACATCAGACAATAATCTCCAAAATTTACAGAGAGAGTGTCTTACATATGCGGTTGTCCATTGCTTAGGCTGAGCAATTTCGAGCAGAGATTTGTTTGAAAACTCGAATTCATATGGAGTGCTATGGAACCTGTGACACAATAAATTTAATAAGAAGGGATGGGATAAAGAAAACATTGCTAAAACTTGGCATGAATCAAGTGCTGAGATGGTGTTAGTAAATCTTACACATCAATGTGGGTTTTGAGGATACTATAGAAAAGCTCCCATTCCCTATCTGGGAGTGGGGTGATGAGATCCAAAGCAGGAATCAGTGGAGAGCTGAAAAGTTCCTTAGCGAGAAGGTTTTCGAGGGAAGATGGAACGTGTCTCGGGGGGTCTTTAGTGGTTGTGAGATCGACGATGGATCCTCGGCAGACTGATTCTCTTTTAGTCAAGTAAATGAAAAGTTAGCAGATTTGTTGAGATGATGTAATTCTAAATCTCTCATATATAGGACACATACCTCATTAGCAGAAGTAGGACGTCCGATGCATGGTGGCGAGTTCGACGAAGCTGTGGCTTTAAATGCATTGGGTGTTGCTGCGTGGCTCGCGAAACCAATACCAGTTTCATTACTCTTGACCGGTGATGTGAGTGGAGTGAAAGGTAGTGGTGACAACCGTAAACGAATGCCTGGCGGAGAGGATGGACCAGCCGTTAGGTCGAATATTGGACCTGTGGATAGAGGTGGGTATGGGCTTATTGGCTGGTAAATCACGAGACCATGATAGAGTATGTGACTAGTCTCGGGCTGTCAGGGTGATCAGCTTTATCGTAGATTTTAGAAGGCGGGTCCAAACGACCGGGTAAAGTGTCCCGAAAGTAGAAGTCTCTGTGGTCTTCTGATTAGTTCGGACAGGAGTTTTCTGGATATCGTTGTCATTTTCATTGGAGGTGGCATTCTGACTTGTTATAGGTGACTGTGTTCTATGGTGCACATCATTTTTGTTGTGGACAGGTGAGATGTGGACATCGTTTATGTCATGTTCCATAGCATCCACATCCTACCATTCAAAAAAAAAAGAGTAAATGGAAGTGAGCTCATTAGAATAGGGTGGTGGATGAAAATTTATGTGAAACAAGGTATGAGTAAAAATCACCTGGTCAGTAACATCTCCTCATTAGTGACCAGTATCCACATCTTACACAATCTGGAATTGTGGGCATCCTTTGTGTAGTGTTCCATAGTATCGACAACCTAAAACGATAGCATCCAAATCATACCATAATAACCGATAAAAGTTAGTCAAGGTTAACAGCGACACTCAATGATGAGAAGAAAGAAAAAAATGACATTCTATCTGAAAGCGGGAACATTCTATGTGAAAGCGGAAAAGACTGAACATCACCTGGTCGTCATCCGGATTGTGCTAATTCTCAGGTGAGCTGTGGACGATGTCTGCGTTGTTTTCCAAAGCATCCACATCCTACCATGAGAAGAGAAAGGGGGTTTAATTACGGTGGTCCTATTAGGAGAATTTGAAATTATATGTGAAAGAAGAAATGATTGAACTGATTGAACTTTACCTGGTCTGTGGGATTCAGGTCATCAATGCTCAGGTCAGTGTCCTTCGAAATTGTGGGATGAAACTAGTGGTGTAGGACGGAGGTCATCTTCTGAACTGTGGTCAGGTGGGCTGTGGACGGTGTCTGTGTTGTTTTCCATAGCATCCACATCCTAACATGAGAAATAGAGAAGGGGCTTAACTAAGGTGATCCATTTACAGGAAGTGATTGTAAACCATTAGCAGGTACTGGTATAATGTAATTCTATGTGTAAGCAGGAATTATTGAATGTTACCTGGTCTGTGGAATTGTTGGAAAATACTGTGTTGTGGTCAACAGAGACATGGACAGTTGTGGTGTGGATGGTTTCGTTGGAACTCGTGTTCATGTTTTCAGAAGCCTGGCGGTGGAGATGAGCTGCGTACTGACTTATGATAGGTGACTGGTGCTCCTCATGATCATCTATCTCCATACCATCCACATCCTATAGAGAACCCAG